GTATGTAATAGCTGTTGGCTCTAAATTTAATAAATGTCATTATTGTACCAGAGTATTTAATAACAACGGTAATAACAATTAATATTTATAATACTAAATAATAATAATGAAAAGTATCGCTTTAACAAAATGAAAACAAGAACCTGGCAACGAAAAGAGCTGTTCTTAAAATTGGATAACAACCTGGCAATTAGTTATTTATAAACAACAAACATGGCGAGCTGCACCGTCATGAGTCGCTGGAATAAAACGTGTTTTTAGTAATGAAATGCTAAAAACCGGAGTTATTAGTTGCAGAACTGGATGAAAAACCATTATAGGATATCGTTAGTAGTGCACAGTAGGCGAAAATACTATTTTTGAAGATAGAAGTGTTACAGTACTAAAGTGCATTAGCGCCTAGGCCTCTAGCAGGCTAGGCTACCGTCATATTGGTAGGTACCGTACGCATTCTTGTTGGGGGGTGGGGGGGGGCTCTTAATAGCCAGACCCTGTAGTTATTTTAGGGTAGGTAGGCCTAGTGCGATATACCACAGCTAAATAAATTTAATACTGGGCTTGCACTACATGCCCCATCCATGGCGTTATAATTATTTTAATTATAACTCCATGCCCGGCCCGAGTCCCAGCCTGAGTTTGTTATGTTCCCAGTTTCTAGCCTATATTAAATGAGTCGAATAAATACTCTGGAACAAATTTGTGGGTCTCAACAAGTGTATACTTTTTATTGTGTATCAATCCTTATTATTACACACATCACAACGACCAGCAGCAGACGAACCCTCTGTTCTTTAATGTGGTTAGTACCTGTCTTAATCTTTGATGTTTTAACATCATTACCATAGAATACAACACTTTCAGTGATACCACGTACCACTTGATACTACTACCATGTGATACTACCCCGTTGCTATCATTGCAAAATGCGTTCAACCGGGTACACCATTTTTCCCACTGACAAACCATTGATCCCAATTTCTAAGCTAATTATTAAGGTGTTGTATCTTAGTTTTTCTTCGTAGATTTTAATTGATGATTAAATGTGTGTTCGTTAACTAATATAATGCAAGCTTTTGTGTTTTTAGCTCTTTTTGATGAAAAAATATTAGATTTTAAAATGCCTATTCCAGAAAGCCTATGCAGGCATTCACTGGCGTAATGAACGGTAACCAAAGTCTGGTTGGCAACAGAGGGCGCTACCTGGCGTTGTGACGACACGACTGTGGTACTCTATACACAATGATATCATCTGCTATGTTTTGACAGCCTTCATAATTAATTAGTACTTGTCTTACGATATGTTGAAATAATTCAAATGCAGAATTGAGGCCAAACATTAATCTTTTGTACCTAAAGAGACCAACATGAGTGATGCAAGTAGTTATCTCCCTCGATGTACCCTCCTTAAGTTCAATTGAATGGAACCCCTTGTTTAAGTTTAATTTTTAGAGAATACCTTATTACTTTCCAATTCGGTAAGCACTTCATCAGTAGTCGGAATGGGGTGTCTTTCCCTTTACATTCTGATTAACATATCTCATATCGATCAACGCATAGATGTATATGCCATGACGTCACGACAATAGATAGAGACGTTAACGAGTTGTGCGAGGTATCAGCTGAGATTTGTGGAGTACAATTCCAAAAACAACTATAGGTCTAATAATGAATTATTGTGATGTTAAATAGACAATGTTAGTTATCAGAGAGCGACGTTGTTTTTCATTGGGACCTTCGTCCCTTTAAGGCTTATACCATCCTAGCTAGTCTAGGCCTAGAGTAGGATAAGGCTAGCGCGACATGCGGAAGTTGGTACGAGTAGGTTAGTCTACAAACGTCGCCTAAAGTAATTGATTTTACCCGGCAGAACGAAAGAAGGAAGCTCCGCTTTTCAGTCGTCTTAGGCCCTTGTTTTTTGACAAACAATGACCTTTCAGAGGTAAACTTGCTGTCAAGAATATGAATTGGCTGCTTCGCAGCAACAAGAAAATATTTCTCTTGTGAACAGGCCTAGAAAAAATATTTTTGTGCCTCCAACCATGAAAATTATCTTGATCAAATGCATCCAGCACCAAATATTATAGTTGGGTCATTCCGTGCCAACTCAACAAATTTTCAGAAAATCATGGCTGGGTACCGTCTCAGATTTTCTTGAAACTCGGATATAATGTGCACCAACATGTCTCACGAACAAACCCAAAATTTGACTTGCCAATTCCAAGTCGTTTAGAAGTTACGGCCATTTGAAATTTTAGGGTCATACCCCTTTTTAGCTCTCAATTAGGACATATTTGTAAAGTTGCATTTTCAATTAGCCATATCTTCAAATAGAATAAAGATAATTAACTGAAAATTGATATCTAGACTAACTTTTGGCTGTAGAACAGGAATATGACATGACTTTTGGTATTTCGGACCCCGTTACAAAAATATTGGTTCGTAAAGACCCTAACTTATTTGGTTGCGTAATTTTTCTTTCATTGTTAGACCCCATTAAAATACCCAAATCAGTTATTAAATGGGTCTTATGAAACAAATTATTAATATATAGTTGGAAATGTCTCACCACAAAAAATTCCGGATTTTTCAGCTATCATTTTAGGGGGTAATCGTAGGTCAAAAGGTCATTCGGAACAAAAAATACACAAAAATGCCTCGTTTTCATGGTGACCTTTGACCCTGTAGGGAAGTACACTTGTTGTTAAAACTCACACCATGAATTAACTTATATATGATAATCATATGTTCCAAATATCAGTTTGGTGTCTTTATCCCTTCATGTTTAAAAAAGCAATTTTAAAAGGGGTATATTTTTCAATTTGTGATAATATCAGTGTGTAAATGTGATAACATTAATTTTTGAATAACGATAATATTAAAAAAAATCTGTCTAGACCCTTGAAACTTATAATTCTAAAACAACTTTATGTTCTTATTTCAGGCATTAAGGGATATAGTGTTTCATTAGTAAGATATGTTCCCCCAAAAATGGCCCAAGTGCAAGAATTGCGCAATAAAATTGTGTTACTATTGATTTCAAATGAGCATAATATTATCCGTGTACTGTCTAGAGCCATGAAACCTTTTATTTTAGGACAACTTTTTGTGTTGATCTCAGTTATGCAGTCTGTTAAAGGAATAAATTATTTAATTAGTAAGATATTATGCCCCAAAAACGGCCCAAGTGCAAGAATTATGCAATAAAATGGTGTTACTATTGATTTCAAATGAGCATAATATTATCTGTGAACTGTCTACAGCCATGAAACCTTTCATTCTAAGACAACTTTTTGTGCTGATTTCAGTTATGCAGCCTGTTAAAGGGATGCATTGTTTAATTAGTAAGATATTTTGCCCCAAAAATGGCCCAAGTGCAAGAATTGTGCAATAAAATTGTGTTTACTATTATTGATTTCAATGAGCATGATATTATCAATATACTGTCTAGACAGTCATTAAAACCCTTCCATTCTAGAACAACTTTTTGTGCTGATTTCAGTTATGCAGTCTGTTAAAGGGATGCATTGTTTAATTAGTAAGATATTTTGCCTCAAAAATGGCCCAAGTGCAAGAATTGTGCATGAACATTGTGCGACTATATATTGATATATTTCAAATGAGCATAACATTAACAGTGTACTGTTTAGAACCATGAAACCTTATATTCTAGTACACATTTGTATGCTTATTTAATTCATGCAGTCTGTTAAGGGACAGAGTGGTTAGTTAGTATGTTAATTTGCACCAAAAAACGGCTCAAGTGCAAGAATTGCATAGTAACATATATTTTAAATATGAGCACAATATTATCAGTATACTACTGCCTATAGCCATGAAACCTTTAATTCTAGGAAAACCTTTTGTGCTTATTTCAGTCACGTAGTCTGGTTAGGAACACAGTCTTCAATTAGTAAGATTTGTACCACCAGCCCTAGAATTGTGAAATAACAGTGCTTTTTCACCATTCTCGCACATGAGCCACTAAGTCTTTTAGGGGCCCACTATCTTAATAATTAAACATTGTGTCCCTTACCAGAGTGCATGACTGAAATAAGCACAAAAGGTTGTTTTTGAAGTAAAAGTTTCATGGCCCTAAACAGTACAATGTAAAATTTATGCTCATTTCAAATCAATGTCACACAATGTTATTGCTCGATTGTTGCACTTGGGCCATTTTTGGAGCAAACTATCTTATTACCTAAAGACTGCATCCCTTAACAGACTGCATGAATTAAATAAGTGTACAAATGGGTACTAGAATTAAAGGTTACATGGTTCTGAATTGTACACTGTTAATTTTATGCTCATTTTAAATATCAAAAATATAGTGGCCCAACAATGTTATAGTGCAATTCTTGCGCTTGGGCCATTTTTGGGGCAAAATATCTTACTAATTAAACAATGCATCCCTTTACAGACTGCATAACTAAAATCAGCACAAAAAGTTGTCTTCGAATGAAAGGTTTCATGGCTCTAGACAGTACACGAATAATATTATGCTCATTTGAAATCAACAGTAACACAATTTTACTGCGCAATTCTTGCACTTGGGCCATTTTTTTGGGGGACATATCTTACTAATGAAACACTATACCCCTTAACAAACTGCATGCCTGAAATAAGAACATAAAGTTGTTTTAGAATTATAAGTTTCAGGGGTCTAGGCAAATTATATTTAATTTTATCGTTATTCAAAAATTAATTTTGTCACATTTACGCACTGATATTGTCACAAATTGAAAAATATACCCCTTTGCAAATCGCTTTTTAAACATGAAGGGATAAAGACACCAAACTGATAATTTGAACATCTGATCATCATATATAAATTAATTAATGGTGCAAGTTTTAACAACAAGTGTACTTGCCCACAGGGTCAAAGGTCACCATGAAAATGGGGCATTTTTGTGTATTTTTTGTCCCGAATGACCTTTTGACCTACGATTACCCCCTAAAATGATAACCGAAAAATCCGGAATTTTTTGTTGTGAAACATTTCCAACTATATATTAATAATTTGTTTCATAAGACCCATTTAATAACTGATTTGGGTATTTTAATGGAGTCTAACAATGGAAGAAAAATTACGCAACCAAATAAGTTAGGGTCTTTACGAAGCAAAATTTTCCTAACGGGGTCCGGTATACCAAAAGTCATACATTGTGATTGTGAATGTATATGTGAAGAATATAGTTTGGCGGTTTTAAACGGTATTTAAAATCAAATATTAGAGATATATCAAAGTACAATGTAAATAAGCAGAGTGTAACCTGTCTCTTATACACATCTAGATGTGTATAAGAGACAGCATTATATCCGAGTTTCAAGAAAATCTGAGACGGTACCCAGCCATCCCATTTGTTGAGTTGGCACGGAATGACCCAGTTACGCTATTATAGCGAAACAGTAGTACATTTAGTGGTTTGGAGCAAGCAAAAATATTAAATTTAATTATGCATTAATTGTTTCTTTTCCCCAAAAAATTCCTCCAGGGTAATGGTCAATGCCTCTGACTGCCGGTCGTGCGTTCGCGCACTTTTTCCTGCCCTGCTTGTGGATTGATATGTACTTAATTTAACATTGTTCATCTGGCTCATAACCAGGGCAAAAACATTATTTTTGAGTGAAAAGCCCCCCGCCCCAAATTCATCAAATATCAAAGCTTCAGCCTCAGGGGCTTTGCCCCTGACCTTTACTGGACCTGAATTATGAGCTGGGGCTGTAAGTGATCTTTGGATATTTGGCTGTCATAAAGATGGTAAACATGTGTTCATCATGTTTGTGTTATATACCATGGTTATACAATAATAGTTGTGGAATAAATTACGTGTTATTTCCAGGGACCTATAATTATTGGTTGTTTTATGTAGCTGTGTTTTGGATTGTGTTCCTTAATATATTTGGTATTATGAATTTCCTTCCAAATTTTCTCATAGGCCTAATTTTTAAATTTTAGACCTCACACTTCCCCTTGCCTGTGCCCCCAATTGTGCAAATATATTTATAAATTGGATATAAACTATTAGCCTAGTCCATAAGCTCTGAAGTTAACTGAAGTAATTTTCTTTTCCAGAAATGTATTGATGAAGAACAGAAAGTCAGTGGATAGGAAGGTTAACAACAATAAAGACAATATGGAAGGTAAACTAATGAAGAAATATATCAACATGATCTCACACAATATCGGGGACAGATGAGTTTTGAGAAGAGAAGATTATTTCCCATTTCCATCATTATCTGTGAGATTATTTCCCATTTCCATCATTATCTGTGAGAAGGAATAAATTTCTTGCTATTTTTTGTTTTAAAGTGTTAGTGGTAGACTGCAGCATGGTCACCTGTGCTTTTTTTATTCTAGAACTCAAGCATTCTTTCACTCAGTTGTCATTGAATTTGGGACAAGTTTACACGCCATTACAGTCTAGGGAGCCCATCCTTTTGTTTTTTTCAAGGTTCATCTTTATTTTTATTTTTCTCTTCATAATTAATTTTTAATATTTTTGTTGTCTATAATTTGGGATGCGCCCACCAGAAAGTGATTAATTCACTTTGGTTAGCCCTGGCCAACCCATTGCTGTTTAATGTCTATTGGATCAAATAAAGAACGAAAGAAAAGTAATGTAATTTCTTTTTAAAGTTTTTTTTTGTCTGTTGCCAGAATTTTTTTTTTTTTTTTGTTAAGTCCTTTTTTCAAATACAAAATTTTATCTTATAAAATGTTACCAGTAAAAATTTATATTTTAGGTATTTAGCACATTTCCTAATAACAATTTTTATTAAGTGTTTTAATAAGTATACAAATAAACAAAACAATCTAGTAACATGAATGCATTAAATGTTGTCATTTCATATTTTAATATTAAGAAAGGCCTAAATTTTGTATAGAATGGTGATGCTGATATGAAGATGATACTGACAAAATGTTTAAATGGCAATGATGAAGATGATGACCTTTATATGTTTTTGTAATTTAAATGGTAATGCCCTTTCCAAATAATTTTATAACCTTTAATTTACTGTAAATACAGGGTATTTTATAACCAGCTACATTAATAATGAGACATCTTTTTATTTTAAATTTCTTAGAAATCACTGATGACACTTTCAGACAGTTGTTGACAGTTTTTTCGGAATGGTATGACCAGCTTAGGTACATCAATATGCTGAAAGTTTTGTACAGAGATCTCTTGAAAAACAATTATGAGTTGAATAAAGCCTCCAAGGTGATGGACCTAATGGATTTGTTAATTGCTTCTGGGGATCTGGATTCAACAGATCAAAGTCTTCTTTATGATACCATAAACATATCAGAGCAATATGGCTTGGAAAAGAAAATTAAATGTAACCTGCTACCATCATTTCCAAATGTTAAAGATGTGAAAATCTCAAAATTCACTCATCACAGACAAAATGTTATGAAACTTGGAATGGTACTGATTGATGAAGAGGTAAAAAAGATCAGTGGATTGTATAACAAACCAGTAAAGGAGTATACAGACACATGGAGTTTGATTATGGATCTAGAGCACAACAGGATAATTTGTGAAGGAAAAATGGACGCTTTCATTGAGAAATTGAATACCCTGAAACTCCAACAAGCTGTGGAAGTTTTCAAAGAAGGTATTAATTTAATTGCTATTTGATATCAATATAATAATTGGTGATTATGTCAGAGATGGTTAAAGTCCTACAGTAAACAAAGAATCCACAAAACAATGCAAATTGATTTACAGTTGATTCAGATTATCATCAAGGGACATAGTCAGGGGCATGAATTAGACAAACTGGAACCCCTTCAAATTACTACATGTACCAGTAAAATAGAAACACAAGGTTAGCGTTTTCAAGGAAATTCTTTTTTTATTCTTCATTGGAATATCACAACTTGCAGTATGCTGAATTAAAGTGATATTTACAACAAATTTTGCATAATGATAAGACATTTAAAAATTAAAAGTGTAAACATTAAAATTATTTATATTAAAATTTGAAAAAGCATTAAACATTTTTAAATGTTTAAATGTTTTTTACATTAAAAGTACTTTTAAGCTTCATTTTCAGTTCAGTTTCTTTATTAGCATCAAAATCATAGCAAGGCTGAATTTCATGATATTGACAATAATTAAATTAAAAACATTAATCAAGCATTAGCACAAGACATGAAAAAAGTAAAATTAGAATACATAAAATTTTAAACATCAGATATTCATGAAAAATAAGAAAAAAAAACATTTATACAGAATTTATACACAATCAATTCCAGTATTATTTTTTTCAAATTTTTTTTCTTTATTGCTTTCAACATACATTACAAAAATCATAACAACATAATATCAACTAGATTTGAGCTCGTCACTGAAGACGAGTTTGGTGATCCGCTGTACTTTGACCCTTATAAAGCATGCGCGGTTGTCACCTACGAAAATTCATATATAATATGAATGTCATAGACGATCAATTTGGATCAAAGGTCTAATGTCTGTCCAACAATGTACACAACAAAAGAATTACAAACTTTTAAATTTAACAAATAAGTAAATCTTTATTTCTAAAATAATAGGTCTTCTTTTTAAACAATAAACAACACAATACAAACATAGAAAACATTAAATATTAAATATCAAATTCGCAACCAATGCTTTTAATTCAAATCATAACATTACTTAGCAATAATTAATTTATAATGAAATATTGGCTATCCAAATCTTAAAGATTATCTTCGTATATAGCCATAGCAAATAACTACCAGTTTAATTAATATATTATAACATTATTGGAGTAAATAGTAATGACGAATACTACGTCTCTATTTAATCACTGTTCCCGCTTAAACACGTCTGTCTTGATAATGCGTTGAATATCCACCATCAT